TGGATAGACAGTATGTCAAGCCTGTTAACAGGTCTAGTCTATGGGAACAAGCAAGGTGCTGTCATTCCTGTCCAAGTTCTGCAATGACGGATTCTGAGCCACTCCTGCAGTCACTACAGATTCAGATATCACATCTATATCCACCATCCACATCCATTAAAATATTTCACTGGAACAGGGCAACTCATGAGAGTGAGAGCAGAAGTGGGCTCTGCACAGAGCTGATGCTACTGTTATAGTGGCTGGCTCCAGGATCAGCTCTGACTATGCACAGAAGGTCCTCCTGCCCTACATGCAGCCTTTGGAAGGACCCCAGCATTAACTGCACTCAGAATCCTCATGGACTAAAAAACAATATTGGACTCACTCTACAAAAAGGCATTTAATACACAGGAGAAATACAATAAAAGAATCCCACCAAAATATTCAACAGAAAGGAGAAAGCAATAATGGCTAGAGGTGCACCAATACATCAGTCCCATATTATATCAGCACCAACATACGGAAAATTGACATTATCAGCAATCAGCTTTTTTTGGCTGATGTGACCGATAATGTTGGTGATAAATGCCCCATCCATGCATGCAGCGGCAGCACAGCACAGAGGTGATCAGGAGCGCAGCCCAACACTGTGGAAAGCAATGTCCAGCTAGTAAGTCTGTTGTGGGAGAACAGGCAGAGGGAGGAAAGGGGCATTTGGGAGGGGGGGGGCGGGCTCAGCATGAGACCCCCACAGTAAGGGAGGCAGTGGGGCTGGGCAGGCGCTGCCCAAGGAGAGGCAGGGTAGGGCATGGGATGGGACAGAGGTGTGAGCAACCGCCCGGGAGATGCAGGGGAGAGAAGTTCCCACCACTATGTGCACCCCAGGAGGGCATGGGGAGCATGCACACAGATCTGTGCGTGGGGCGAGGGTGGGGTGCTGCTGCAAGCTGGGGCCAGGATCTGTGCCAAGCCCTTCCCAGTGTAGGGGTGGGGCAATGCTCAGGCCAGGAGGCAGCAGCAGCACTGGGAACAGGGCTCGGGGGAGGCTTGCAGCCACCCCAAAATTCACCGTATCCCCTCAAAGCAGCACTGCTGCCTGCCCCCAGAACAGCCCTGGCCCAGCACCCACACTGGGAAGAGCCTGGTGCAGCCTCTGGTCCCAGCCCACCCTTGCCCCACACACGGATCCAGCAGGGGGGCACCCCCCCCATGCCCTCCAAGGGTGCACACAGTAGCAGGCCCCCCTGCCCCCTTGACAAGCCGCAGCTCTGTCCCTCACCCTGCCCCACCCTGGCTGGGTACTGCCTGCCCCTGCCCCAGACCCACTCCCCTCCCTCTCTGCAGAGGCCTCAATCTCCAAGCCCTCCCTTCTCCCCACCCCAGACTTACCAGCCCAATACTGCTCTCCAAGCTGCCAGGCTACATATCAGCAACTGGATCTGTATAGGCTGATCTGGCTCGTTAAAAAAATCAGCCATCAGTATTGCTGAGGGGTCGCACTCAGAGGGTGGTGGTGGATGGATCATATTCGACCTGGGGCGAGGTGGGTAGTGGAGTCCCCCAGGGCTC